GCTCCTTAGTGCTCCTGAAATTGCAGTGAGAGGAGAAATGTGGTGCACCGGGCAGATCACAGAATCACAGAATCACAGAATCACCCGAGTTGGAAGGGACCTCAAGGATCATGCAGTTCCAACCCCCCTGCCCAGCAGGGTCACCAAACACACACATTCAGATCAGGTTGCCCAGGACCCCGTCCAACCTGGCCTTAAACACATCCAAGGACGGGGCATCCACAACCTCCCTGGGCAGCCCGTTCCAGGGCCCAACCACTCTCCTTGTAAAGAACTTCCCCCTAACATCCGACCTAAATCTTCCCTCCTTCAACTTGGATCCATTTCCCCTAGTCCTGCTGTTGTCAGCCCTTTTGAAGAGTTTACTCCCCTCGTGGGTGTAGGTTCCCTTCAGGTATTGATAGGCTGCAATGAGGTCACCCCGCAGCCTTCTCTTCTCCAGGCTGAACAAGCCCAACTCCCTCAGCCTGTCCTCCTAGGGGAGGCCCTGATCATCTTTGTCGCCCTCCTCTGGACCCTTTCCAAAATCTCAATGTCTTTCTTGTACTGAGGGCTCCACACCTGGACACAGGACTCCAGATGGGGCCTCACAAGAGCCGAGTAGAGAGGGACAATCACCTCCCTGTCCCTGCTGACCACCCCTCTCCTGATGGAGCCCAGGATCCCAGATGTTGTGAGGTACCTCAAAGAGGTGGCTCGAGTTTCTTGTCTCATCAGGCAAACCCAAGAGCTGCCTTTGCAGTCATCACTGACCCTTTCTTATCCATGTGCTGCCACACTGCTGCCCTCACTTTCCGTGCAAAAGTGGGAGACAGTGAAATGCAGTTGGCAGATGGGGAAATGCTGCCCTCAGGTCTGCAGCCCACCGAGGAGGAGATGGAGCTCACATTGTGACTGCCATGTTCTGCTGTGTTCTCACTCTGTGCCTGTGTACATCTCAGAGTAACAAACCTGTGTGTAAAGCAGGATGGCACAACAGGGGATGAGCATCTGTTTCATGCTGCAGTCAGCAGGGACATCTTGGTGGGGCTGGCTCTATTAGATCTACCTGTGTGAGACTAGGAATGGGCTGGCTTGCTGTCATACGTGAACAAGGCTTCCAATATCCACCAAAGCCAAAATAGACACATGGTGCTTACACAGAAGCTGCTCTTTTCCCTCAGAGGTCTCTCTCTGCAGCACAGTTACTGCTGTTGCAGCTCTGGCTGTTAACTCTTACTGGAAAATTTTCCAAGCCTGCTCTTCAGTGGCTGCTTTATTGATTCTGTTTGCTTATCCTGGGACTTTCAACTGGTTGTTAGTTTCATTGAGACAAACTGGGTAGGAAATGACAGACTTTTGGTGTACACAGTGCATTTTCCTGCTCGGTTTCTTTCCAGGTTGAGCACTACATCTGAAACACGTGTTTTGTTTCGGTAGGGTTGTGCTTTGGTACCTGTTTCCTTCTTTTGTGCCTTTATTTTTTAGTGTCACCATCCGCTTTGTTTGGATGAGAGCAAGTAGACCAGTGGACAGTCACTGGCAGAGCAGGAGGCAGAGTTGTCATTGCCCTCCGTCCTGTGGAACACTCATGGACAAAGATAGGAGTGCAGGAGAACTATCAGCTCCCTGCTAGTCAGCCTCTGGCAGTTGTTCTACCCCAATGGATAGGACAGCACAAGCCAGATCTCCTTCATGCTGTGTGGTGACAGTGAAGTCAGCAGCCCAGAAATCTGTGGAACCTTTGTCCTGGGAGAATCATAGCCATTAAGGTTGGAAAGGACAGAACTTAGCTGGATATGGCTTGTTTAAAAGCTCTGCTTTGAGCATGAATTTAGAGCAAATAACCTCTAAGGGTCCCTTCCAATGTTCCTCCATGGTTACACAGCGTCCCTTCAAAAAACAACTAAAAAGGGTGTAGAACATGCAACTTATTTCCTGTTTTACCTACCAAGATCCTAAACTGGTTGAGATTGACTGCGGATCTTCCCTTAGACTTGGATGACGTTTAAGGAAGAATGTGGTACCCACTGCACTGATGTCCTTCCACACATCTTGCTTCCTTTGGACAGCCAACACTTGCACTTCTGCTGTTCTGTCCCGTCCTTTTCCCTTTCAGTGAGGGATGGTTTGCAGCACCCCAATACTCCATGGAGCTCCTGAGAGCAGAATGGCACTGGTAGGTGGTTTTGGGATGAGTGATGAATCCTCTGAGGTGGACTGAACCCAGCACCCTGTGTGCAGAGGGGCAGGCAGTCTTCCCAACTCCTTTGCAGGGTCAGTTCTCTTAAGTCTTGGCATCTTTTTCTTCACATACTGCTTCTTGTGATTTTTGAATTCAGAGTTTTCATTTCCTCTGCACATCACTCTGGAAACGCAGTGGGACTTTACCTTAAAGCAAACGAGTTGGCAGTCCCTAGAGGAGACATACTGGACAAGTGAGCTCACCTGCACTACCACCACCAACCTGCATGGCTCAGCCTCATGGCTGCACCACACTGCTGAGCTGCACAGCTCAGTCCCACAGCTTGCCCAGAGGCATTGTATTCTGCCCCAGTGCTGCTATTCTGGGATGGAGCACTTCTCCCAGGGCCCACTGCTGCAGTGTTGCTCTGAACTGTTCACTCCTCTCAAACCTTCCACCCAAACCTCCACCTCTGAGCGTAGCAGCAGTGAGCATCCTGGTGGCATGCTGTCAGACCTGCACTGAGAGGAGGTATGCACCATTCAGCATGAAGGGCCCCCACTCCCATCTCCACAGTGCAGGCAGGCATGTGTGTGTGTGTGTGTGAGCCCCCGGGTGAACGATTCCATGATTCTTTTTTTTTTTTTTTTTAAGTAGAGCTTGGGCTGGTTGGCAGTGCAGTTGGAAAGTAATGCCAATGGGCCTGGAACACCTGGTGGAACCCATGAGGCATTCGTGCAGCATTCATTCATCCAGTTTAGTTCACCCACAGCCACGGCAATTGCCTGCCTGTACACTGTGATGATGATAGCAGGGCCTGAGCCTTTCTCTCCCATCCCTCCTTTCCCTCCACCACTCACTTGTTTCTCTCTCTCATTTGCTATTCCCTCTCTGCCCCCCCAACCCTCCTGTACCCTCAGCCTCTTTTTGCAGGGCTGATGGATATGCAGAGTATGTTAAGAAGCACACGGTACTGTCACCAAGCTGATGGTGCTCAGTGACTCCTCCAGCTCCTGGCTGGTGTGTGCTGCAGGAGCCTGACACCCTGACCACTGAGGCATAAAAAACAGAGAATTGGAAGCTTCAGCCTGACAGGCACCAGCACATCCCCAGAGAGGGTCCTTATGTGTGTGCGAGAAGGGAAGGGGGTAGCAGAGGTTCTGAGGGGAGGAGAGCGAGGCAGGAGAGAATGGAACAATGAGATGTCAGCCTGCTTCCATCTGCAGCACGGCTGCGTGTTCGGAGGCGTTGCTGCCTCCAAAGCAGCACGCGTGGCGTAGGGTGGGAGGGAGTGCTGTGACCCATTGAAACGCCTGGGGCACACGGCGCTGTGCTGGCAGGGATGTGCAGTACTGTCTCTGGTGGGCGCGGGTCATGCAGGGTGCAGGTCCGGATGTGTCACGGGGCGCTGTTTGCAGAGGAACAAACGGGGGGAGCGGGCAGGGCAGCGGGCACGCTCTGCTCCACCTCTGCTTCTCATGCAAGGGCTGTGCAGCAGGGAGTGGGCACTGTCCTCTCCACCTCGCTCCTCTGCCTGTACACCGCACGGCCTCCAGCAAGCACAGATGCTGCTTCGTGCCAGCAGCAGCCAAATGGTGCTCTTCCGGCAGCGCACAGCTCAGGACGTTTGTGATACCTGAATGATCACCACAGCATTAATGCCTCTCTCCTGGGGTCAGCAAATGAGCCTCTTGGCAGACCTGTCCTGAGTGAGAGGCTGCTCTCTGGGCTGGGATGAGGCGATAGCTCCAGGTCAGCTGGATGGCTGTGCCAGGTGGTGGCAGGTGGTGCTATGGGGTGTTGACCCAGCAGAGCTGCATAGAGATGTGTGTTGTGGGTCTGCCCCTTGGCTGAGGCAGGAGACTTCCCCGGTATGAGATGTGAGCCATTCTGTGTCTGAGGACTTAAATACCTGAAGGCTGCAGCCAGCATCTTCTCTCTTCAACCTGCCAGCCTTCTCTGCCACATTGCCGTAGGAAAATAGTTCTTTCTTCATCGGCGCTGTTTAGTGTGTATATGCTTGTGAACCTGAGCAGGAGAAAGAGATGTGGAAGAAAGATAGGAGAACAGAGAAACTGCCATTCATGGGAGATGTTCCAGTGAAACAACAGTGACATTTCTGTTTGCATAGCAGTGGAACCTATCCAAGGTCAGAGCTGTGTTATGCATGGTGCTGCCCTGAAGAGATTGCAGCTCAGGTATGAAACAGGGAGATGACATGTGAAGAGAAAAGATGGAGAAAGTAGCTTGTGAGGAGACAAATAGCAACAATTCTTTGAGTCTTAACTCTGCCTTTGTCTGGAGGGTTTCAAAAACTCCTGAAACTGATGCAAGCATCCCTCTTCCTTTGTTAAAGTGATCAGTGGAAGTCCATGGGTCCAGGCCCATGTTCTGCTGGAGAGCCAAGAATGGTGTTCGCTACCTAGAAGATCGGCTGTTTTATCTTCTGTTAACAGGGAGACTGGCTGAGCAGCTCCCAGCTGCCCTGAGTGTTGCAGGGATGTGGAGGCAGTGGCCAGGCCTTTGAGGTCGGTCTCGGATTCCTCAACTCCTGCAAGCCATCTTGTTCCTGCAGCACAGGCTGCACGAGGAAATCCCACTAACTCAGCAGGGGTGAGCTGGACTGCAGAAGGACACACAGAAGATGACTGTACTCATTTAATAGTGGGCGGTCCAGACGGCCCTTCTACAGACAGGGTGGTCGGCAGAGCTTTTGCGAAAGCTTTCACTGGAATACAACAGATGCTGAACTTGTGTGTTTTTCCCCGCATATGTGACTGTAGTCTTATATCAAATGACCTTTATTTTGTCTTTTTACTGTTTCCCTTTAATTCAGGGAGTGAGTTTTCTGGGAGCCCATACAGCCACCCACAGTACTCAACTTACAACGACTCCTGGAGGTTTCCCAATCCCGGACTTCTGGGTAAGTTGCTGCCCCCACTTTGGGGCTGTGCTCCTACCTGTACTCATTTATAAGCCAGTGGCAATTACCAATCACCAGGATAAGCAGGATGTGTGTCCTGGTGCTGCCTTGTCTCCCAGTGCTCTTCACTGATGAGTGGCTATGGATCTCCACTGGGTACAGCAGACCTCCTAGTTCCCTTCACCAGCAGGAAGCCTGCTGCTAAACGCCTTTGTCTTCCCATTTCTGCCTCATGGAATCATTTGGCAGACACAAGGCATTGCTGGAAGACAGAATGCCCATTTCTTGAAGAGGAGGAATCCTATTCCTACAAAACTGGCGTCATTTTATTGGGAGTGCCTTCTTCAGGGAGATGCTGTGTCTTGTCACTGAATGTTAGCCCCACTACCACAGTGGTGCTGTCTCCTTGCTGGTTCCAGCCATTTGCATTTCTCCCAGACCTCATGTTACGTTTGCTCTTCAGCTGTGGGTTTGCAGTGCCTGTTGTGCTCGTGCAGTCTCTCAGATGTCTGCATGGGCTCTCACAAACAGTAGGGAGCAGGAGCCCCACAGCTCACGCAGGATCATGGCCCTCATGTGAAGCATAAACACAATCCATTTTACACCACTGTCAAAAGATGGCCCACTTTGACCTTGTACACATGTAGAATGCAGTAATTAGAATTGTTCCCTGCATAATTTGCATGGATGAGGTAAGTAAAATACCAATTAATTGTCATCTTTCAACAGAGGAATAGCGTGCCTTGGAGATTTCCAGATTTATGGATGACAGGGCTGTTGTATGTGACCTCCAGCAGAGAAATAATTTTGAATTTTTGTCTTTTTTTTTCCCTCCCCATCCACTTTCTTTGTTTTAAGTAATTGAGTCCCCATGTAATTGAGCCACCCAGGCTGTATTCATCATGGTTCTTGTCCTTAAACAAATCCTTCGGGAGCAATAGACAGCCTCTGCCTCTCATGCCATGGTGCTGGTAAGCTACTGCTATTTTCTGTGCCACATTTAAGGGTTTGTTAGTGCTTCCATCATAAATCAGAGAACAGATCTTCAGATAATATCGATGGGCACGGCTGTACAAAGCCAGAGGAGCCCTGGTGCTTAAACCCGCAGTTGCCATGGCCGCAGCCAGGACTGCCTGCAAGAGTTTGGTTGGGCTGTGTGGAAGAAGATGCTTTAACCAGTCTGAAGAGTGCACACAGTGATTTCTTAATTGCTGTTTTTGTACCTCCTTTGGAGTCAAATCAGATATTTCAAACTCCCGCTGCTGAAGGGAAGACAAAGCGAGCTCTGAAGCACCTGGAGACAGGCCTCAGAAGACAGGCTTTGCATGTTTCTTTCACTTCCCCTGCAAATCTGTGAAGAAACCGGTGGGATATTCAGAATAAATGCAGACCTGACCTGAGGTCCATCCTCCTGCATAACAAGAGTGGCTTTTGGCAAGGCTGGGTTGCAAACTCATGCCTGCAGACTTCCACTGGTGCAGGAAAGGACTTGCTTTGGTGTCCTTGTTCCATTTTTGGATGATAATTTCTGGGGGCAAATTCTTTCTCTTTGACTCTGTGAGCAGAACACAGTTTGTGTACAGCTGGTACAAATGCATTCTGCCCACAGCAAAGGGAGTGGACTGAAAGGCTCAGTACGCGGACCTATGAGAGTTGGTGCCACAGAATGGAGAGTCCCTTCCATCAGTTTAGATCAGTGCCCCAGCAATGTCCCCTCCTCATCTCTTGCCTGCCTCCATGTGCTGGCATTGGGAGCTTGGAGAGAGTCCTGGTACTGTGCCAGCAGTGCTCAGTGAGAGACAAGGCACTGCTGGGGTACCAGAGCTATGCTAGCTGTGAGCACAGAGCACAACCTCGCAGGGGCAGCTAGGGAAGGTGATCTCCATCCTAGCCTTGTCCATTGCATTGGAACAACCAGCAGGTGTCCTGAGCCTTGCAGGAGAGCCCAGCCATACACAGCTCTGCCTGTATCCTTGTAGTATTGAGCACTCCACACGTGGCCAGGTCTCAGTTGCTCACTGGTAACTCTGGACAAGGAGGAGCCTTGTTGCAGAGCCGTGTTGCAGACCTTGCTGCAGGTGCCTGCTCTACCCCACCGTGCACAGCCAGAAGACTCATGAGATGTGCCTGAGCACCTGCACTGGAGAGGAGGTTAATGTAAGCTGTATCCACGCTGCTTCCACACTTCTCAGTATACGTGAGTACATTTTATAATTCTCTCTGGAGAGCAAGCTCTGGCAGTATCAACATCAAAGCAGAAACCCTGACAAAATTAATCTGTAGTAGTACACAGACTGACACAGTTTGTTTTACTAAGTCCCCTCCCTTCACCAAGATGAAATTGTAATACTCCAAGCACTCAGCAGCACCTATGTTTAATTAACTCCCTGTTCTGAACAGGAAGAATTGCTCTGCAGCAATCACACCAAGCTCAGATCTGTGAAAGAGGAATTTAGAAGAGAGATGCAATGATTTACAAGTGCAAGAAAGTATTTGGGATGAAAAATGATTTGGGGGGAAGGAATGAGGGTAGGAACAAAGAGACCTGAGGACGGTGTGGCAGTTTCAGAGCATAGTCCCTGGTCTTTCTCCTGTGATTTTGGAGCAGCAGTGAGAGGTAAGCCAGTTTTTCCACCCCAAGGCCATGCTTGGGAAGGGTGTGTGGGTGGAAGCAGAGCTGCAGAGCTGTGTGATTCCTCAAGGAAAGCGGCTGCATGCTGTCAGTGCTGCACCTGCACTGTGCTTGCTGCTCCTTTTGCATCTGCAGCTCACTCACATCTGCTTCAGCCAGCCTGAGAACTGATACCGGTGGGTGACTGTGCAGAAAGGCAGTCTGGAGTGCTGTGATCCACAGCTCTAGCAGATGGACAGAAACCAACTTCCAGTCCTCCAGGGTGGTAAAGAGAAGCAAGGGCAGAAGAAGAAATCACTTTACTGAGGCAGCTCCCTGGCCTCATGCTCTCCTGTCTGCCACCAGCATCACCTGCAGCTCTGCACAGCGTATAGCCTGCACCTCCTGCATGACATGACACAGCTCACTGTCTGCAGCAGCAGTGCAACCAGCCCTGGGTTTCTGCAGGGCCGTGCTGGGAGGGTTGGTATCACAGCACTGGCTACTTGCCTTGCACCCATCTCAGAGCTGCAGCCAGGTGTCCACATGGAAACATTGTGAGGAGGTGGAAAGGAGGGCACCTCATGTTCTCCGCACTCTTCTGCTGATGACCTCAAGCTCCTACAATGTAGTGATGTGCACAGGAGCGTGTGCACAGACATGCTGGGAAGCAAGCTTGTGCCTGGGGCTCCGTCCATCACTGTCTGCAGGGCCTGGCAGGCATACCAGCTCAGACCTTGCTCAACAAGCACACGCTAAGAGTGGATAACAGAAAGGCAGTCTAATGAAGAAAAACGATTCAATTTCATGCTGGCTTGTTGCAATAACTTCTTTGCCTTTTTCTCTCATTGCTTTCAACTCGGTGCTGCCTGTGGCAGCTTTTGCTTCGTGGTTGTGGTCTGTGCTTCATGTCTCACTGCTTGGGGCTGCCTGTGGTTGTGGGGCCAGGATGGTGTCCTGCAGGGAGGTCTGTGGGCTGCTCAATGGAGCTGGAGGCAAGTCTTCTGTGAGCAGGTGGAGAACAAGGAGGGGCCAGAAATGGCTTTGCCAAGGAATATATGGAAGGTAATATGAATTGGAAGGAAAAAATGGCCAAAGGATGGACAAGTCTATTTGGATGGGAGCATCCTGACAGGGAGAAGGAGTGATTGCTTTGTAATGTGCTGTTCTCACTTTCTGCATAAAGTACAACCTTTTTGTTTCATCTGCAAACCAGAGAAATAAAACTCAGCAAAAGTGCAGGGCTTTTGGAAACATGCTTCAGGCTGTGCCAGGCCTCCTGGTGCCTACTGGGTGCATGCAGAAGTCCCACCAAATGCTTTACTTGGACGTGCTACCTTGCTCTGCAGCAGCAGAGATGATCCACACTTTGTGTTGGGTGCATTGGCTCAGAAATAAAAAAGCAGTAGACTGATGGTGTGGTCTGAGTTACCTTCCTGGCAAGGTGCTCAGAAAGAAGGCAGAAGAAACAAGTAAGCATGCATATGTGAGGACCCAGCAATAGGCACAGCACGTTGGAAAGGCCCTGTCTTTGGGAAGTATTTGGGCCAGTAGTGATGGCCCCTTGGGTCCCCATTTGGGGCAGCAGCACTTCCTTTTGTAGCTCTAGTTATTTGTGTCTGAGGTGCAAAGTGCTGAGTCCTGCCAGCTGAGCACTCCACAAGGTGTTTCTTGGGGAGAAGGCAAAGCAATCCCTGGGTGTGGCAATTATCTCAGAATCCCAGGGTTTGGAAGGGACCTCAAGAGATCATGGAGTCCAACTCGCCTTCTAAAGCAGATTCCCTACAGTAGGTCACTCAGGCCGGCATCCAGACAGGTCTTGAATATCTTCACAGAAGGAGACTCCACAGCCTCTCCAGACAATCTGTTCCAGTGCTCTGTAATCACCTTCTGAGCTGATAGTTAACACTCAATGTCCATAAGCTCCCTGTTCGAGTCTGGTGAGATTCCAGCTCTGTGCTTGAGCTTTTCAGCCAGCAGCACTTGGTAGAATACCCAGAGGAAGGGAAGCCAGCTGAAGACACACAGTGTGCGGTGGACTTCCCTCTCCTGCTGACCCTACAGCCTGCAGTTGTCTTATGGTCCTCAGCTCTCTGCCCACCCACTGGTGCAAAACACTTCTGTTTATGCCATGCTGATTTGTATACACGCCACTCGAGGACTGGTGTCACTCCCCTTCTCCTGAGAGAATCAGCCCCTCTGCTTTGCTGGAGCTGCAGAAGTTATCAAATCAGTGTTAAGTCCCATGCTTGAGCCTGCAGCCCCAGCTGCTCCAGAGCAGATCCTCATGTAGACTTTGTGATGCTCTGCCAAACCTGCCCACTTATGTCAGTCGCAGGAGTCCAAGCGTGAGTCCTCCCACGGGACTCTTCCCCACTGTGTCCCATTTCACATTTCATGCATATGGAACTCAGTTGATGACACGAAGGCTGAACTGACAAAACTTTGAAATATTTTGTAATTCTTTTCTTGCACCATATCAGTTTGTTTTCTCTCTTGTGTACACAAAAATCATTTTATAGCTTGTACTGTCCAAAGACACGTATGTGTAGACACAAAGGAAGTCTAACACACTTCCCTACTGCAGCAAACAACCCAGATTCCAGGTAACCCTTCAATAATCACCCAGTGGTTTGATGCTTAGCGCCGCAGGGCAGAAAATTCATCATCAGTGTTTATTTCTCAGGTCTTGTGTTAGTAGGTGAGTGCGTCAGCACTTCTCAACCTGCACAGCTCATCTCTGGTTCTCAGAGCTCTGAAATCATTGCCAGAGCTAGGGAAAGCCAAGGGACTTCTTCCCTGAAAGAAGCAGTGTGAGAAAAGAGGTAATTATTTCTGAGTCCAGTAAAATACGTTGAGTGCTTTTGGGTGCAAGGTTCTCATTCTTCAAAAACAAGGGAAAAAAGAATGAGAGAAGTCAGTCGTGTAATCTTTTGGAGACAGAATACTCCAACCTTGTATTCTAAAATGTGTTGAAGATTTTGTGATGTCAATGGCACAAACCACGTGCTCTCCAACCCACAGCAGTGCACAGCAGCTGCAGCAGTGCGGGACGTGATTTTGTGCTGATCACTCCACCTTCATTCCCGTGGCACAGAACCCAAAGGAAGGAGCCCTGGGCACTGTGAGATTGCACTTTCCCCCCATCTGTTCTCTTCATAGAGTCTCTTCTTTTCCAGGCTCTCCTTACTACTACAGTGCTGCAGCCCGTGGAGCAGCCCCACCAGCAGCTGCTGCCGCCTATGACCGCCACTGACCTCGGACCCAAAGCTTGAGCACTTACCACAAAATACTGCCTGGGACAACTGCATTGAGTCACCTTGCTACAACCGTGCAAGTCAAGGAGGAAGAAAGTAAATAGTAGGAACAAGCTCATTGAAATTTTACTCTTAAGACTCTGAAAACTTAACGTTGTCATTTTCTTAATTCTGGTGATGTTGTCTGGGTCTGAAGTGAAACAAAGAAATAGGAGGACATGGTTCTCCTGGCACATCATGCGGTCATAGAAATGCAGTAGTTTCATGTTGTTTGCAGCTGTCTGGCTACTGCTTTAATCGCTGTGGGTACCACGGCTGTAACTGGGGATAAGGAAGAGATGTGGGCCTCCCTGTGCGGGATAGCTTCCTCTTACTGCACACTGAGACAGGCTGTGAGACTCAACACAAGCTTTTTAAATTATTATTATTGCTTTTTTTTTTTTTGTGGCAAAGAAAGATCAGTCTGCTCAATTTTACACAAGCAGCACTGTAAATACTTGCTTGTTTGTACTGCTATGAGACTGACTTTGCGTATGCAGCAACACTGTACAAGTCTAGGCTCAAAATGCATCTGAAAATGTGTTTTGAAACTGGTGCACTGATTCAAAGAATTCAATAAGCTTTAAGCAACTTTGAACCAGGTTAACACTCATTGTGGCTATCTTTCAGGCTGATGTTACTGCTGCACAGCATCCTAACCAGCAGCTGTGTGTGATCATGCTATATGCTGGTACCAAACTCATGGGCATCAGAAAGAAATGGGCAATTTTGACACGGTTTGTTGTCTAGTATTCATATGTGTTCATTTGTCATCATAATGAGCACTGAAACAAATTCTCTGGTTCCAAGTTAAACTGCATTCAGGAAAGAATAATAGTAGACACCTTACCTACATCTCAGCGGGTCGTCTGCTAAAACCCAGTTATGGGCACCCTGAAACAAAGGGGGAACAGCCATACTGATTTCTGTGAAGTGGACTATTGACCAGAGTGTACTGAACACATGGGCAGACACACCTGCTTTCTGAGGCGTGCTGGTCACGGGGGTCTGTCCATTTAAATGAAGGTATCTCAAGTCATTCTAGTAACACTGAGAGCAGTTTTGAATTCAAGACTGGAGTCACAGAGAACTTTGCCCCATTAATCCTGCATGTCTTGCCCTCCTACTCAAGAAAGGAGTGCTAAGGTGAGATTTCATTCAGTGCTCACTGCTTCCCCGAGCTATTGAAGAGAGCAGCTTACCAATGATCTGGTAAGCAATACACCAGCCACTGCTTTTTACAGGAAACAGGGAAAACTATCCCCCAGTGCAGCTACCTTTTGCCATGTGTTATGGTGTGCATGTGCCTAGCCACTCCTGGAAGCAAGGGAAGAGCTGACCTTGCTGAGACCAGACTTACCTGCAGCCTCTGACTGCGCACAGCATCGGCACTGCAAAGAGACCTGTCTGTTTGCCTGTGTCCTTCCCAAGGCTGAGAAGGGATTGCTGGTGGTGTCCCACGAATGAACAATCAAGTATTAAGTATTTGCTTCCAGTTTTGCAAGCATTTCTTTGAAATTGCAACCTCTGAGCTAACATTCCTCCCTGTTCTCCTTGCTGCCAGCACCTCGTGTGCCTGCCATCAGTGAGCACTGACAGCCTCCGTGTGTTCCCCAGTAGCATGTTTTGTACCTTTTCATGCTACAAACACACAACTGTTAGGTTCAGGTTCCATGCTAGATTTTCTCTGGTTCTCAAAAGCCATGATGATACCTAGGTTCCACTGGCTTAAATGGGTTCCCTAATCCAGAATTTAATTCTGTGAGCACGCGACAAACTTACCTGCAAGAAAAATTGTCCTTTTCATTTTTCAGCATTTGATACCTGAAACACAAACACGCACACACGTTTTTAATTGAAAAGCACAAAACCATCATTTACCTGGGGAATTTTCTGAAGCTTTGCTTTGGTGTCATACATACTGCATGGCTGTTTGCACCCCAGTGGCTGGCTGGGGTTTCTTCACCCGAGCTCAGCTGAGGTGTGCACACCACATGCAGAGGCATATCCCCAAAACAGCTGCCTTTTCTGTAAGCTTGGACAGTTAGAAGGTCATCTGACACTAGGTGAGGAGGCAAGAAACAAACATCTGACGGTACAACATGAGGGTGTGGGTCATGCCCCAAAAGCAAGGGTGGGGGTGAGCTACACGAGCTGCAGGGATGCTACTTGACCACTGATGAAGCTGGTCTCAAAGCCTGTGCTTGTGCCTTTCCAGTGCAGGAAGAGCAGCTCCTGTTGATTATATGTATGTGCTTGCACCAGTTCTGAGTACTACCCAGCAAGCATTTTTTAAAAGCTTAGTTTTTCATTCCCTGGTGGTAAATGACTTATATGGCTTTAGTCTGGTTAACACTGAGAAGGCTAAACATAAGACATGAAATTTCAACAGATGCTATTATGCTCAGGACAGAGACTCTTGTAGTTAGTCTATGGACTTACGAAAAACATGGTTTGTATGTAAGTCGCTCCAAAAGTAATGCCTCTTATTAATTCTCATGGAAATTACAACAGCTATAAAGAGCACAATAACACCTTTTGATAGAGCAAATTCTCAGCTACAAAACACTATCTTTCGACTCAGTCACCACTGTTAACCATTTTGAGTGGATGAGCTTATTTGGAGACTCTTCCTTTTGTGGTGTGACATCTGTGCACAGCTATTCAGAACATGGCTTGTCTTTCAAGTCAGTGCCACTACTGCTGAAACACAACACCCACTGCTTCGTTGTGCTCACATCCACTCTTTGGTTTCTGTGTATGTTCAGCAAGCATCTATGAATGTCAACTGCTGCAATTTTTTTTTGAGTGGAGGAATTCTGTGGCACAGCTTTGCTTCATATGCACTTCCATGTCAGACGTCATTTTGTAAGAGAGCCCCTCTGCTGCCATCTGTCTCATGGCAACAAAATGGAGAAGAATTTTGGTAGGAAGGTTCAACCTCTACTGTTATATCTCCAACATCCACCTGTGATTTCTTGGGCCAACATAATAAAACAGGAGGCTTTACTTTTGGAGCAACCGTCATACATTACAAGGATGCATGCCTGTGGACTAAGTGACCTAAGGTGTTTACACTCAGCCCTTGATTTGCCTTAGTGTTTACGTCAAGAATCCTTAAGGGTTGGTCCTTGGCCAGAGTTGTCCTGCAGTGCATGGTGGAGGCCTGCATCCACTGAGCCACAGCTTGAGTAAGAGGCAGAGAAGGTGCAGGTACACAGGCCTTGCACAACTCCTCCCTCTCCCCGCGCATTCCAGCTCACAACCACAGATGAACCACAGATGCTCACCGTTGCACGTGTTCAGCTGGGACCTGTGTCTGGTCCACCTCCCTCAAGCACTGCTGAGGATTCCTTGGAGGTGTGGCTCATTTGTGTATGCTCAGGTTGTTTCTCTGCGAGAAACACAAGCAGGATTTAGCCTGCTAAGCATGCATGCCATCCATACTTCCAGAAAACACACTTGTCAGTGCTTTGTATTTTTGACAGTAACACAGTTAACCATGTATATGCCCTCTCCAACAGCCAGCTACTCTGCAACAGGCCTGGCTGAGAAGATGTGAGCAAGGCCTTCAACGTGCATGCTGTGTTCACATGTGCTGGCTGCAGGGGAGGATGTAGAACAAAGTGGAGACTGGAAGCAAGTGTTGCAAAGGGATGGGAATGTGAGCAACGCCATTATTAATCTGCTGAGCCTGGTTCAGTTTTTCTAGATTAGCTTCATGGGTCATTTTCATGCACCCAGAAACACTGGTGCTGGGGCACGGGAGGCGCTGCTGTTGTTTGGTTTGGGCAGGATGTCCTGTAGCATGGCACATCATTGCCAACCTCTTGCAGAACTCAGCCCCACAAAAGTGCCTTCAGGCAGTTCCACCGCTGAGCTCTTTTGTGCAGCTAGATTGATGGTGTTTCATGTAGTATGCATTCCAGTATTGCATTCCAGCAATAGCTTGCCAGCTCCGACAGGCCTAAAAATAAAGGCTAGAGGTGGAGAGAGAAAATACTGACATAAAATTGAATCAATAGAAGCTGTGAACTGGTGTTACATGAATTGCTGAGGAAACCCTTGGTTCTGTGCTGTAAATGTAGCCATAAAGAAGTCATGCTGTGGGCACTGGGTTTAGCATTTATGCCCAAAGATTTGACTTCAGAGGCACTGTTGTAAGATGGCACCCATCACCTGCAGATTTAGACATGGGCCAAGACAGGATCCCTAGACTAAAGTCCTTGTTAGCTATCCGATCAGGAAAATGCTCCAGGATCTGGGGCCGTGAGGTCAGAAAGCAGGTGTTTCATTCAGAAACGTAGAGATGCCAAAGCAGAACTTTCAGGAATGGTGGAACTGCAGGCTCTGGAGAGAGCCTCGGTGCTGTAGATTGGTGTGAAGGAAACAGCAAAGAAGGACAGAGTACCAGGAGAAAAAAAAACAAAAAAAGAAAAAAGAACAAAAGAGAAGAGGCAAGCTGAAAGGAAAGTGAAGTTCATGAGAGAACTGCTGGACTTCTGTCATCTTTCTACATAACATGTATGTTGCAATGGCTGTGCACTGAGGAGGGTGCAGAGGAGTTCACTTGCTGCACTGCAGAGTGCTGGCAGCAGCTTTCTGTTTATATGCATTCTCCCATACACTGCCTTGACTGATGGGATTGTATTCTACTTTAAAATTTTCTTTAGTTTTTTCTCTTTTACAAGTCCTTTATCATGAAAGAGAATTGAAGCCATGCTACGACGTTACTTCCAAGCATGACTATCCAACAGTTCCAAGTGTTATGGCACACAGCCCAGATAACTTGTGGGGCTGGCTGCTGGGGCAATGTAGAGGCTTCAGCAAAGTGTCCTCCATGGTTCTGCATTCTTTCCTGCATGTTTATGCATGTATGTTTCCCTAAAACTGGGACATTGTGACATTGGTTCATGATGGGAGCACAGCATTAAACTTGACCCATCCTGTGACTCCATCCCTGCAGTGCTGGGAAAACTGCTTCTTCTTATGGATTCACTGAGAAAATGACAAGAGAGCTCCAGATGGCCAGCAGCTCCCAGGCTGTGCCCTGCAGTCTTGTGCAGAGCAAAAGCTGTGCCAGGTTGGGCTGCTCACAGTGACACAGGTGCTGGCTCTCATTCTGATCCCCAGCAGTTACTCTGCACTGAAGGTAGAGAGCTGAATGACAGTGAATGACTCAAGACTCCAGCAAGAGAACTGCTGTGCCCCTCAGGCAGAAATCCACTTGATTAAAAACAAGCAGTATTTCTTTTCTGGTGGAGTTAATCACAGAATCACTAAGGTTGGGAAAGACCTTTGAGATCATCCAGTCCAACCTTAAACAAGACTTGCAAATACTGAGCAGAAAGCATCTTTGGGAGGTGCTCGGTGCAAGCCAAGTGCTGTGTCAGCATGGCAGTGAGCGTGAGCAGAGTGCAGAGACTGATGTGCACACGTGTGAGCACTCATAGGCCCACGAGCACCTCTGGGTCTGTGCCCACTGCAGCGCCTGCTGACAGCCTCCATGCCACTGCTAACGGCGCCATTGGACTCCTGCATCCAGGTTTATGACTAACCTTGTAAATGGAGACGGAAAAATGGTCAGTGGGTGTTTAGATCTTTCTATTGCTTCATTCAGCCTTGTAGTGCAAAGAAACTTTGTCCTGGTTTTTCACTTTCTAGTGGCCTTTGTACATTCTGGAATTACAGAAGATCATTTCACTGCAAATGGAATTTACTTTCAAGAACAAAAAAAAAAGAACAGGCTTTTTTTTTTTTTCTTTTTTCTTTTTTTCCATAGAGATAAACTACTTTCTATTAGGAACTTCTAGCAACAAAGAAATACATACATATCTATCGTATCCACCAAAGTCTGCAATGCCTGCATTGAAGCTTACTTCTTGTAAGAGGAAAAGAAAGAGAGGAGGGGGAAAAAAAAAAAAGCCTCCTTTCCTTAAAAAATGCATAAAAATGGAAAAAAAAAACACAAAAAAACACAGAAGAAAACTCATAAAAATAACTGCTGAATTGCCTTTGAAAGTAGGGGATAACATCTGTTGCAAAACAGATGAAAAATTGCTTCTTAAAGTGTGTATGTTTTGTATTCTTTTTTTCTAGTAGGAAAAGAACAGACTTGAAATTTTGGTGTTTTTCCTTAGTGCTGTGTGTTGCTTTCGTGTGTTATAATATTTGAATGTAATTACAGCAGTGCCAATTTGCCAAAGATGTTGAACATTATTTTGGGGATTTTGTTTTGCGTTTTATTTTGGGGAGAACAAACGGGAGGTGGGCTGGGCAGTGGGCGTGCTGAGCTGTGGGTCACAAGGGATGGGTCTTCTGAACTTCTTTTACGCCTTTTTTTCCCGATTCTTTTTCTTGTCAGAACTGAGATTTGTGATTTTATTCTAAGTTAAATGGTTGACTGCAACACGTTTTATTTTTAGATTAGTTGAAGAAACATGCAATAAGATTGGCGTAGTTCAATATCTGTGTGTCTTTTCATGAGAGTGACTGTTACTTGTGGACCTTTGATTTCATGTAACCTTTATGTGAGATAATTATTTGTAAATATCTACCATAATTTTATTGGTTCCTAAAATAAAAGTAATTTTTTTAAGTTCCAAAAGCCCGTTTTCACCTTATCTACAGGGTCGTTTGGGAGAAGTACCAGGTTGTTGGATTTGAAATGGGAGTTCTTTCTGTAGTGCTGCTCTCTCCAGCTCCTCATCCCCAGGTCTTTATATAGAGCCAGGGTTGCTCCATCTGACGTGCAAAATCTGGTGTTTGCTATACAGTTCAGTATTAAATAGTTAGACTTCAGGAACAAAACTCGTAAAAACTTTCCATGATCCAGCAGATAATTGTAGACAGGTAAGAGAAAATGACAATCGTATCACAGGCATGAAACACAGAAAGACAGAACTTGATCAACCTGCAGCTTGCAACCTGCGTTTGCTCAGTCCTCAGCAAGCTTTGGTTTTGGGAGACATTCTCCATCCCAGCAGCACAAAGCAACAAGTTCATCCAGACACGCTCAGTTCAATTTAGATTTAGATTTAGGCTGGATGTTAGGAATACGATGTTTATGATAAGGGTGGTGAGGCATGGAACAGGTGCCCAGAAATGGAGTGGATGATCATCCCTGGAGGCATTCAAGGTGAGGCTGCTCTGGGCTCTGGGCGCCTGACCGAGGTGCACGTATCCCTTTTCATTGCAGGGGAGTTGAACAAGGTGACATTCCAACTCAAACCATTCTATGATTCTATTAAATTCTGCTCCAGCTCCAGTGCAAATCCCATCTGCCATCTTACCCTCTTGTTTTCACAGCTCGGAAGGACTGCCCTGTCTGTCCCCCCAGCTCTGGGACAGACTTTCTAATAGTTTGCAATGCACCGGACGGCGTAGGACTGCTCTCATGAACTAACATTTCTAATCAGAGCAGTGCTTCATGCACTCGAGAATACAATGTCATGGGACTGACTTAACAAGCATTCAAAAATCACTTTTCTGGAATTTTCTGGTTCGTCCACCAGTGCTTATTCAGCCATCTCACATCCCATTTGACTCCTGAGTCCACCTTCACACCTCACACCTCTCTCTTACTGTCACTCACCAGCTGTTCTCCACGCATGACTTCCCTTGCAGCTCTATGGAAAGCCTGGCATTTGCAAAAGGCCCTTTACAGCAAAAGTTCTAATGCAAACAATTGTCTCACCTCCCAGTGTCA